TCACAAATACATGGAAATGAAACAACATAATCTCAGACAGTCATTGCATCAAAGAAGAAATAAAAAGGGAATTTAAGAAATATCTGAAGACAAAACACAGCATACCAAAACTTTGGGCTACTATAAAGATAGTAATATTGGCAATAATATTATGCATATATTAAGAAACAAGAAATTTCTCACTGTTGGTGGGACTATAGACTGGTTCCACACCTGTGTAAAACAGCATGGAAGTTTTTCAAAAGATTAAAAATGTACCTCCCATACAACCTAGTAATTCCACTTCTATGTATCTACCCAAAGAGTGCCAAAACACTAATTCAAAAGGAAACTTGAACTCTCATGTTTATAGCAACAGTATTTACAATAGCCAACCTATGAAACAACCTACGTGCCTAAAAACAGATGAGTGGATCAGGAGTATATGATGTATATACACAAGGGAATATCACTCAGCAATCAGAAACCATAAAATCATGTCATTTGTGGTGACGTGGATAGAGATAGAAGGGATAAACTTACATGAAATAAATCAGGAAAAAGATAAATATTGGACGGTGTCCCTTATATGTAGAATATAAAGAAACCAAGCAAAGGGTCCGATAAAGACAAACTTAAATACTACCCTTTGAAAGCAGACTACAAAACTGAAGCATACAGAGGAGGAGGGAGAGGGATAAAAACAAAGTGGGAAGGAAACACAATGACTTGTGTGGTAGCCTTGGTGACAGGAGTGCTACAGTAAGTACACCTGAAGGGGGAGATCCTTTACTTTCAAAATACCGGCAAGGAAAACCAACATTACCCAAAAAGAAAAGAAAAAAAAAGCAGAGGTAATAGTAAGGAGACTATAGCAGCTGTTCCAGGAAAAGATAGTATGTTAATGATGGGGGTGGCTGTAGAGTCAGGAACAGACACAGGACAGGTTTTCTATAACCCAGCAGACTGGGTAAAGGAGGAGTCAGAGTCCTCAGTGGTTTTTTGCAGGTTTTTATTGGGATTACCAGGTACACAGCAGGCTGGGGGGCCAGTAGGCTGGCAGGCCTCCCAGCCCCCAGCAGGTCTTCACTCTGGACTCTCCGGCCTTCTCTCTGCTTCTGTTCGTTCTCAGCTTCTCTTTCAGATTCTGTTCATTCTCGGCTTCTGCTGGCATCCCCATGATGCCGCCCTTAAAAGCCCAATCGAGTCCCATCTACCTATGCCAACACCCTACTCCAGGTGCCCGCCATCAGGCATGCATTCAGGACCACAGGGCTCCGTCACCTATCCTAATGGCGGGAGGGCAGAAAAGCCTGATATCTTTTACCTTACCCTACAGTGGCCTAGGAAATGAAGAAAGTGATATTATATTTGCCATCTCGAATATCTAGTGAATCAAGTGGCATGTAGGATGCCTTCCATACACAGGACTATAAGTAGGAAAGAAAGAAATGAGTCCATCCGTTCAGAAGTGCATTTACTGCTTTTCTAATTTCACCTGGAGAAGTAGAACATTATTCTTGAAGAAACTATAAAATGCCCACTTCTGAAAGCAGTCTATTTTGTCAATAATTAAAGATTCATTTACTCTTGCCTGCCTATGATTTAAGCAGGCATTTCCTTTTCACAAGCCATCTCCTTTCTGCCTGCTTACGTCTGTGGAAGGTCTTCTTTCCTTTCCCTAATTTACCTGTCCTTTTAACATGTAAAAAAAAAAAGTTATTGCAATGGTACCTCCAAAATAAAAAGGGTCATAAGGAACTATAATGGCCAATATATGCCAACAAATTAGAAAACCTAGACGTTTATAATGTCCTTCCCAATCACCAAATGTGACACCAGTGAGGTCTACCTTATTTTCATGCATTGGTCCTTAAACACAAATTTAACCTCACAAGTCAAGTTTTATCTGAAAAGAATTTAAAGATACACAGCTTTTCATAATATTTTCAAGTTCCATAATTTTGGACATGGATATTACTTCTTAGAACCATAGAAAATACACTTCTATGATGGACGGGTTTTGATTGTAACTCTGAGTTTATTTGCCCACATACTTATTAAATTTATGTGACTACCAGTTGCTTATTTAAGGGACTAATTGAACTATTTTATTTGCTACAGAAATTTGAGTAACATGAGTCTCTGTGGTCCTGGAGCTCCCTGGCTCACTGTCCACTGTAGGGGCAGGTGCCAGTATTTACAACTTTAGGAATGCAACTCTGTGTGAGTGGTGGTTTACCTTTTTGTTAATAAAGACTCTTTTCCCTGGTCTAATAAAATCACAAATTATTAAAATTTGAAACTAGACATAATTCTTTTTGCTCATCTAATCTAATTTCTTTCTTTCATGGATCTTTAAACTGAACAAAGTCCAAGAGGGTAAAATGCTTGCCTAACATCCTGCAGCTGGTTAGTTAGGAAGTAGGTTGAGAAACCAGGTCTCTTGGGCTCCTGATTCAATGCTCTCAGTCTAAACTTTACTTTATTTTTATTGTGTGAATTTAAAATCATAAAAAAAAAAAATCACCATTCATGTAGGTGGCATTTTCAAATAGAAGTATACAAAAAAATGTTTTCTGAGTTTTATAGGGAAGAACTAACCATCAGCCTTGTTTTCATAAAGCCACAAGAACAGGCAGAGAAAATGGGAGAATAAAGAAATTGTCACTTTTAGTTTATGCATAAGGGAGAAAGAATTGTAAGCATTTATAAACAGTCATAAACAAAGGTCATCTATTCCTGTTAACATAAGAGTCAGTCTTGTTATGGTGACAGCACCTTGGGGAATCCTATAATTACAAAATACTACCAACAATATTTCAATAAAATTTTGTTCAAAAGGGCCTTTTTACTTCTCACTACTTTCTAGCATTAACATGCCAATAGTTATAAAGGGGTATAAGGATTAAGCACCATTATATTATCTAAGTGTAGTCAAATTACACAAATGGTTTATGCATTTAATCATTTGGATCTTCTAAATGTCATGCTGGATATAGTTTATCCCTCTCACAGTGAGTCAGAAGCAGGAATGGGTTGATTCCAGTAAGCAACTTAACCACCAGCAGGTGTTGTGACTGGTGGGAAGGGTAGGACTGGAATGCACACTTACTTAGGGATCTCAGAAATACAGCCTTGGATCCTTACATAGGCCGTACGTGTGGCCACAGGCATCTGAGCATGTTAGCAGTACCGCAGCTATGCCACATAGAAGAGGCCCTTCATCCCATCTGAGTCTGGGAATATTGATTGTTCCCAAGCACAAAGTTGAGAAAAGTGCCATGACCCTGTGGCCTAGTCAAGGAGCTCAGCTGTGCCACTTTCTGTGTGAACTTAGGCACAAAATCTCAGGATTCAAGTCCCTTATCTGTATATTGCTCATTTGAAAACTCTTTTGGCTTCAAAAGTAATGACTTACCACTTGTTATTTAAGATGTCAAGTATATTGATAAGAAGCAGTATATAAAGGTGATTAAAAACACGTGCCTTCTGGGCCTCCCTGGTGGTGCAGGGGGTTGAGCACCTCACTATGAAGCAATTGCAGCCTCTGCAGCACGAGTTCAATCCCCGGGCAGCCAGGGAGAAACCCACATGGCGCAGCAGACTGCTCCTGTCTCACCCACTGCTCCTCTCAGCAGTGTATTTCAGTCAATCTGCCTGTTCTGTTCCCCACTCTGTCTCTGGTGGATCCCCTCACCCCCCGCATCTCTGGCCTGTGTCCCGGCTCTTGTGTGCATAAATAAATGAATCTTAAAAAAACAACAACAACAACACATGCCTTCAAATTTATACAGAATAGTCTTGATTTCTAGTAACTTTGGGCAGACTCTTTTGTAAGCTTTTGTTTTATCCTTGGAATGAGACTATTAATAGTCTTAAGTCAGGGTTGTTTTGGGATGGGGGTAGGGAATGACATTATAAATGCAAAGTCTTTAGCACAGTTCCTGATATATCCTAAGTTTCAATAAATATTTCTCTTTTTTTTAAGATTTTATTTATGCATACAAGAGCTGAGGTGTAGGTCAGAGGCCCCCGGGGGCGAGAATGCTCACTAGAGACAGAGTGGGGAGCAGAACAGGCGAATCTACTGAAATACACTGCTGAGGGGAGCAGCAGGCAAGGCAGGAGAGGTCTGCTGCGCCATGTGGGTTAACTCCCTAGCCATGAATTGAACCCGTGCCACAGTGGCTGGCTGTAGCTTAGTAGCGCTGAGCCTTAACCTCTGTACCACCAGGGAGGCCCTCAGTAAATATTTCTTAGCAGTAAGTAGTAGTAGTAATTTTTAGAGACATTTTATCCTGATATTATATACCATTCCCTTTAGAATTAAATGAATATAATTCCAACAGATTTTAGTAATATTGTAAAGTATGGAGACTAAAATTTGTTAAACAAAATTATTTTTTGTTTTATATTTATCATATAGAACTAATAAGTTTATTCATTTTCATATAAGCTGCCTTCTTAATTCTGTTATTATTTTTGCAGTACTATTTGATGTAAACCAAGGACTTTTAATAGTTTTGGAAATAGTTTCCCTCAGTGAGGATATTTGTATGAAACTGTTGTTCAATAGTGGTTTGCTAAACTTCTGAAGGAATTTAAGGGAAATTATTTGTAGAATCAGAACCCATTTATAAAATAGTGTGGGTAAGTTAGTAACTCTGGCTGGTCATTAATATCTTGGAGAGTTAAACACTCAGTTTTTCTAAGAAGGGGCGAACTGTGGATGTGTCCATAACACAGTGTAAATAAGATTTTTAATGGTCTCATTGACTATATTATGTTCTATATATCTTACACCTACTCCATCACCATCTTCTTTTACTTCACTGTTGTTTGTGACTAATAAAAAAAGAAGCACGTTCACTCCTCACTACAGTCTCACAAACTTCTAATGTGAACAACTCAATTCAGAAATGCTCCTCTCCCTTAGAGATTGCTTTTTGCTGCATTGTGATTTCTGATTAGGATAATATTCTTTACTCTTCAATGATTCTTTTGTACTTCTCTTATAGGAGGCCAGTTGTAAAAACACCTCACCTATTGTCCTAACAAAAGACTTAGAAAGAGACATACAAAAACCATCTCCTAAAACCAAGGTAAGTCATGTCTGCTTTTTAGGCCACTTAGGCTACCACATGAGCATTAGTGAAGCTGTTTATGTTCTTGTATTTCTATGCCCTTTGCTTACATTTCTTTCAGCCTTTTTTTTTTTTAAGCTGATGGTTTAAAAAGCACTTCTTTACTTAGTACATTGAATCATCTAGAAACTCTCAGTACACTCCTATTATTTAATAGACAGTGATATTTTTTTCTAATAGATGGTTTTACTTCTCAGTCAGAATTGTTTCTACTTTATAATATAGGAAATAATCAAGTGTAATAGAAGGTTGTTTCTAAGAGTAAAATGAAATATACAAATGTAATTCTCTTTTCAAAAGTGCAAAAATTTATTGATTTTTTATAATTATAAAAATAACATGATTAATGGAAAGCCTTTAAATTTTAGCAAGAAAAATTAAGAATGATCATATCTGTGACAGAATAAAGGGTCTTGTCTCCAACTCTCTGGTGCATATTTATTAATGAGTATTATATCTTCTTAATGAATTGATCCCTTTTCATTATGTAACATCCATCCCTATCTATTGTTACCATTTTCAGCTAGAATTCTCGTTTACCTGATATAAGTATGGCTGTCCCTTCCCATTTTTAGGTTACCGTTTGTTTGTAGGATTTTTTTCCAACTTTTTACTTTGATCATGTTTGTCTTTGGAGCTCAGATGAGTATACTATAGACAGCATCAAGTGAGCATTTGCTTTTTAATCCATATAGCACTCTCTGCCTTTTGATTGGTGACTTTATACCTTTGACATTTAGGAAATTATTATCTGCTTATTGCCATTTTGCTCTTTGTTTTCTGGATGATTTCACAATTTATCTCTGTTCTTTTGTTCTTACTGTCTTTTCTTGTACTTTGATAGCTACCTTTTATGTTGTATTTGGATTCCATTTTATGTCTTATTTGTTTCTTCTAAGTATTTTTTGTTTTGTTATGAACATAAACTTAGTAATACCTTATATATAAAGTTCTATGTTCATAACCTACTTAAAATTGAAAGTGAGCAATATTATCTCAACAGTCAGCAGTTTTACTCTCTCTCCTCCCTTCATCTACTATGTTTTATGTTTTTTGGTGTCTTGCTGCCTTTTTTTTTTTAAGATTTATTTATTATGCATACAAGAACTAGGGTGTAAGCCAGAGGTGCGGGGGAGTGAGAGGATTCACCAGAGAGAGTGGAGAGCAGAACAGGCAGATCTACTGAAATACACTGCTGAGGGGAGCAGCAGGCCAGGCAGGAGAGGTCTGCTGTGCCCTGTGGGTTAGCTCCCTGGCCAGCCTGGTATCAAACTCATGCTGCAGTGGCTGGTGACAGCTTGCCAGTGTTGTCTTTAACCCCTGCACCACCAGAAGGCCCTCTTGCTGCTTCTAAATGGGGTTTCTTTTATTTTCATAAAGATCCCTGTAATATTTGTGCAATGTGGGAATTAAATCATTTGACTATTGTTTGTCTGTAAACCTCTTTATTTGTCCTGTAATTCTCACTGGGTAGAGTATTCTTGATTGGAGGTCTTATCCTTTCAGAAGTTTGGATTTATCATGTCATTTTCTTCTTCTGAGAAACCTGCTGATAGACTTATGTACTCCCCTTGAATGTGACCTATTACTTTTCTCTAGCTACTTTTAAGATTCTCTTTTAAACTTTAATTTTTTGCCATTTTTGTTACAATATGTCATGGTGTATCTCCATTTGGGGTTATTATGTTCAGACCCCTGAGCTTCCTGGATCTGGGATGTCTGTTTCCTTCCTAGGTTGGGGAAGTTATGTACTATTATTTCTTCGAAAAAAAATGCTGCTGCCCCATTTCTCTTCACCTTCTGTATTTTTAATTCAACTGTTGTGCTTTTTAACTCTACAATTTCTGTTTGAAATTTTCTCATTTTCAGTCTTTATTGTAGTTCTCATTTTGTTCATCCTTTGTTCTCCTTATTTCAGTAGGTGTCATTAACAGTTTCTTTTACTTAGTTTTGCTGCACTAGGAATTTCTCCCAGAGATTGTTTAGTTCCATCAATTGAAGTGAATTTCTGTGTCCTCATTTTGTTTGGTGCTCTTTATTCTATGGATTAAGCTAAACAACTTTTCTTGCAACCTTATGATAATGATTTTGGTTTAGAATAGGAAGTTGCAAGGTATAGGCATAGGGTGTTTGGGCTTTTTCTTGTATAAGCTGAAATCGTGTCACTGTCAAGTTGATTGTGGCTAAAGAGCCAGCACAGGGTGGGAACCTGGGAACCCAGCCAATGGTTGAGGACTAGAGTGGTGGAAAGCTAAGGAATTACTGCTATAGATTGCAATGGCATAAACCTCTCTGGGGTGGTAGCTGCTGGACTTAAGGAGGGATCTGCCACCACTGTAAGCTAAAGACAGACTCTACCAGCAGAACTTTCCCATTTGCCTTAGTCTGCAACTGACCCCTCAACTATAGCCTACCTCTCATCTCAGGAGTTCTTCCAGTAGACTTCTTCTGCAGAGGCTCAGGCCAGAGAAGAGCTGCCAGCGGTGTTTAGGTTTGTGCTGCCAACATAGATGCAGGTTTATTGTGCCTATGGGAAGGAGGTAAGTCCAGTATCCCAACACCAGGTCATCTTGACTTTCTCCCCAATGACGATGATGAAATACTTATTATGTCTTCAAACTTGTTGCTGATAATTAAGTGTTGAAAATTATTTTTATTGTTGACTTTCTATCTAACCTTGCCACATTCTCATTAGTTATAATATGTTGGTCATAAGTTTTCTTTAACTTTGTAGACAGTCATATCACTTGGGAATAATGAGACTTATTAGAAAATAATTAGAAATTATTCAATTTATTGATGCATATATTTTCATAGTAGTCCCTTATGATCCTCTGTATTTTTTTTTAAGTGAAAGGGAAGTCTGGGGGGAAAGGAGTCCTTCTCTTACCTTTGCCAAGCTGAATGGGGATGGAATTTATTTGTTTTTCTCTTATTTTCCCTTCACCAAACCATCCATGCCGATACCCTATCTACTTCCCTCCTTTATTCCCTCACCCTTTTTCCCTATTCCCTCTGATAATCATTATCTTCTTTTTGCTGAATACAAGTTTTATTCCCTCTATTCTTTGTATATAAATGTTTTGGGGTTATTTCCTCTGTGTTTCTGAAATGAATTTTCTCCTTTTTTTCTTTGTGAGCCTATCTAGAGTTTTATTTTTTTCAAAGAACCAGCTTATAGTTTCATTGATCATTTGGATGTTTTTATTTCATTTTTAGTTTATTTCTGCTCTAATTTTGTATTATTTCATTCCTTTTACTGACTTGATTTTTTTTTTGTTCCTCTTTTTCTGTTCCTCTTAAGATATTAGGATAGATTATTATTTGCACTCTTTCTTGTTTCATGATGTGGCTTTGCATTGCTATGTATTTCTGTGTTGGTATTGCTTTTGCTTTTGTCCCATAAGTTCTTGTAGTTTGTGTCTTCATTTTTGTTTTCCTCCAGGTATTTCTCATTTTCTTATTTGATTTCCTCATTAACCCAGTAGTCATCAGTAGTATAGTTCAGTCTCCACATTTTAGAGGTTATATCTGCCTTCTTTTTCTGGTTGATTTCTAGTTTGATACTTGTGATCAGAGAATATACGTGATATGATTTTAGTCTTCATTAATTTATTGATACATTTTTTTGTGACCTAACATGTGGCCTGTCATAGACAATGTTGCAAATGAACCTGAGAAAAATGTATATTCAGCTTTTGGAGAAGTATAGTATCCTATAAATGTGTAGTTAGCTCATGTAGTCTAATTCTTTATACATATATTTTTTAAAGATTTATTTGTTTATGCATTCAAGAGCTGGGGTACAGGCCAAAGGCAGGGGTTGTGAAAGGATTCACCAGAGACAAGGAGTGAGGAGCTGAAGAGGCAGATCTACTGAAATACACTGCTGAGGGGAGCAGCGGGTGCAAGACAAGAGAGGTCTGCTACACCATGTGGGTCACCTCCCTGGTCAGGGATCGAACTCTTGCTGCAATGGCTGCTGCATCTTAATACCTTGTGCCACCAGGGAGGCCCTAATTCCTTTTTTAAAGCTGTTATTTCCTTGTTTATTTTCTATCTTGTTAATTTGCCCATTGATGAAAGTAGGGTGTTCAAGTCCTCTACAGCAAAAATTATCCTACCCAACCACAATGGGGGCAGAAAGTACAACTCTGTGATATGTCTGGAAGAAAGGCAGTATCCACCTATATTTATTAAACTGTGACATCCTATTGCAATTTCTTTTTGTTATAGTTGGGAAAATTGAGGTTTAGAGAGACTATAATTGTATAGATAATAAATACTAGATATATCTGATCCTAATGCTTCAACTTTTACCCTATTAGTGCATCCCATTTCTTATTCCTATATGCTCTATTGCTTATACTACTTCCTTAAAATGAGGTTGTGAGAATTAAAGATGATATATTTAAATTAATGATGATATATTTACAGATGATATATTTAAATTAAAGATGTTATATGTAAATAATTGGTATACTTGGAGTGTACATGGAGTTAGCATATACAGCACGGTGAAACTCTATTTTTTTTTCTTATTTCTTAACCTATAACTCAGAATCTTTCATAAGTGCAGAAGCACTGAACTATTTTTATAGTGACTGTATATTTTTCTATGATGAAAATAGTCATTTTCATTTATCAGTATGTGACATATTTTGTATGTAAAGATATCAGTTGCACACAATTTGTATTATTATTGTCATTCTGAGAACAATTTTGTATATCAGTTCATCTTTTGAAATATAGGACTCATGTACTAGCCCACTAAATCCTCAGAGTAATAAGCTAAATTGGCATCAGTAAAGTATTGTAGGAATCTAAAACCTTACTTACAATGTGACTGTTTCTGTAAAAAATTACATGTCAAGTTTCATATCAACTAAATAGGTTTTAATTTCTTGCTCAATGGGATAACAAATTTTTATTCAGGGCCCCACACCATAAGATGAAGA